AAAAAAAACCAAAGAGGCCCACGTTTGGGAAAAAAAATGGAAAGGATTTCGCCTTATGAAAAGATCGCGATCCGCTTCCGTGGCATGGACTGGACAGAGGAGGAGGAACGTATTTGCTACCAAGTATTTTTTAAATGGTGTCGTCAGAAGGCAGACATACACAAAGGCCATGTGTTCAATTCCTTGTGGACATAAATTTCAATAGTCCTGAACCAATGCCTGAGTTATGCATTTAAGAGGGAGTTTACTATTTCTCAAGTCCGGCGAAAGATTCAGCGACTCAGAAATTATTTCAATTAATTTACTGCTTTCCTGATGATTCCAGGCGTCCTCTTGTGTCGTGATACAGGCTTTGCTAGGGTTAACCACATGTACTGGGTGTATGTGGGGGAGGAGGTAAATTGCATCTGATTTTTTATTTTAGTTTGTTCAAGCATGCATTTTTGTGACGCGGCCATAATAACCTAAAAAGATTTAAATTTATTACACAAGAGACCGACACTCAGGCATTTTTTCGTTCGGAAGGATTCCCTTGGTATGGTGAGTGTTACGAGGTTTTTACCGAGTGAAACGCAGCGGCGATAGACTTGGAAGTCATCGATCTCGACCCTTAGAATCCACTAGACATGTAATCAAAAGTTGTTTGGCTTATTTTGTTGGACTGACTGCAGTAATAATAAATATTTTTTTCTTCTGTCAAGTACGTGTTTGTTTAATCATGATTCATATGTCAAAACAAAACAATATGTTGCATGAACAATTAAACTATTAATGTCCGTGAACAGAGTTTTCCCAGCAAAATCAGCGACAATATTCGAAGGGAAAATATTATTGAAAGGAAATTCGCAGAACTGTGAACAAAGTGCGATGATCGCATTGTTCTCGCATACTGTAATGAAAAAAAAATAAAAAAATAAAAGTAATTTATATTTTTTAATCGCATATCCAGGCCAGATCAACCGCATCATCATTTAGGATATGTGGAAAACTGTCGCGTAATTAGATTATCACATATTCAAACTGCATCATTTATGAGTATGCGACTATGCGGCATATGTTCGCATAATTTACGATTCGCATATTCAAAGGCTTAGATAACTATCGCTTATGCGTTATGTTTTCGCATAGCTACGAATCGCATATCCATATAAAACTCGCATAAATGTATCAATATGCAAACACATTTCGAATAGTGTTACGCACCGTTTTTTTTTTCACCTAATAGTTTTTTTTTTTTAATTTATTAATTTAGTCAAAGAACAAGAATTTTCCAAAAATTATTATTTACAACTCTCCAAAAATATACGACGTTTGTATGTCGCAATTTTGTACGTCGCAGAATAGTAAATTTACAAAAACAAACACAAAAAAATATATGTTAGTCGTTATTGTAATAGTGTTATGCGGTTTTTATGCGGAATTGTTTCGAGTAATAATTGCAGGTTCATTGACCTAATAGTAGTAGTCTTCAATTTATTAATAATTTAGTCACAGACCAAAATTTTTTCAAAACTTTTAATTATTTACCAACTCGGGCACTAATATGCGACGTTCGTATGTCACAATTTCGTACGTCGCCGAATAGAAAATTTACAAAAACAAAAAATTAAGTTTTATTCATTATAGTACGAGTGTTATGAAGTTTTTATGCGGAATTGTTTCGAAGTAATAATCGCAGGTTCATTCATCTAATAGTATTCTTAAATTTATATTTAATTCACAGACAAAGAAATTTTCAAAAAATAAATATTATAATTAATTATGCGCCAATTCTGCGAATGATATGCGACGTAGTCTTAAATTTATATTTAATTTACAGACAAAGAACTTTCCAAAAAATAAATAAATATTATAATTAATTATGCAACAATTCTGCGAATGATATGCGACGTAGTCATAAATTTATATTTAATTCACAGACAAAGAACTTGCCAGAAAATAAATATT